AAAATTGAATTAAATTACAATCAAAATTAAATAGCATATGCCAACATTAAATTAAATTAAAAATTAAAACAATTATTGATCCACCATTAAATTAAAATAAAAATGATCCACCATTAAATTAAAATAAAAATCAAAATATGAACCAAATTTAGATTCTTTAGGGAATGTAATGTATTCAATTGAGGCTTTTAAAGAATTTTTAGGAATTAAAAAGTTTAAGAGTATTCAATGTAGACTTTTTGAAACTCTCTAAAAGCAATGGTGTATTCAATCGAGATTTTTATAGACTTTTAAAAAGTTCTTAAAAGTCACGGTGTATTCAATTTGGGGTATTCAATTTACTAATAACTTTTAAAAACTTTTATAAAAGTCTCTAAATTACTAATTTTTAAGCAAAAAGTATAAAATCTTAAAATTTGTCTCTCATTCATCCCAATATTTTGGAAGACTTTCACAAAAAAATTAACATGTATTTTTCGTTTATTTCAATATTTTTCTTTCTTTTTCCCTTCTACGAATATTAGGGTCATGATTAAAAATTAATTTTAGTTATAAAATTTTATATGAAAAGACTAATCTATAATTAAATTTAAATATATTAATTTTTTTGTTTTGTAAGGTCCTGAAATTTATATTTTTAAGTTGGTTGATGTAGCTCATTTAAGAAACAAGTTATGGAGGCTCGGCACATTCAAGGTTATGAAAGTTATAATATATTTAAAAGCCCAAAAATTTAAGACATTAAGTTTACTGTATGAACTTTGTCGCGTCATCCCGGACAGAATTCTTTGAATTTTTGGACAAAACTAGTGAGGTTTGAAAGCCCTATGAGTCCTCTATGACTTTGGAATCAAGTCAATTGAAGGTCGATAGGATAAGTTATGCCCTTTTCCGTGTACTATGTTTAGTGTACCCCAGAACAATTTTTTCCCCTCGTGTTTGAGTGTCTATTCGAGTGCCTAAATGATCTTAGAAAATTCTGAAATTTTACTATGTTGTACTTAAATGAGTTTAGAAAATACTATAAAAAATTCATAAAATTATGAATCCGATAAATGGTCTAACTAAGTTTGATTGTAGAGCGTTGCTGAATTTAACTTCGTTAATGCACGCTAACATTCATTTTAACCCTTTGTTTTAGTTTTTTTATTTAACAAATCAAATTTATCTATTTTAAATAATTTGTTTTCAGTCAATTTTAGAACTTGTAATAGAATGTAAGGGTAACTACAAAGTGAAAAGAAAATTAAGAAAATTTTAATTTAACCCGAATTTTTGAAAGAAAAAAACCTTGTTGTTTTGTACTAATTTCAAATTCGAAAATTTAGGTCGTTACAACTTGGTATCAGAGCCAACAGTTTTAAAAAAATTGATTATGTAGACATTATTGATGTAAAAATGAAATCTTATTTATGTACTAACATGTGTAGATGTAATTTAAATGAGAACATGTAGTACTAACATGTTATATGTTTAAAAACTTTAAATAAATACGTTCAACACAAATTTTCTTATGTATTTAAGAAAAATTATTAAAAGTTTGAAAAAAAAAAAGATTGGATAAGGATTTGAATTCTCCTCGGCACTCTACATCTATCAATCACCCACACCCTCAATTCAGGTACGAACATTTTATTAAATATTTTCCTAGAATTTCAAAGTTATGTTTTCACGAATTTTATTGTTAGTTGTGAAAAAAAATATGTATTGGACTGTGATAATTATGGGTGACAGATAGCTAGAAATCGGCTAGAAGAAGAAAAAGCAATCCAGTCACTGCCTTATAAATAGCAATTTGGGAGTATTTGGATTTGGACTTTGATGATTCTCTAAATTTAGAGGATCATGTGCAAAGTGTTCATGAGCATTAGGTGGGAGCTACGAATGCAAGCTTTCAAATTACTGATCTACAAGCCATTCGACATCTTTTGGATACATTAGCACCTCGCGAAGAACATATTGGCAAGATTTTATTAAAAGAAACGAGATCAGTAATTCCATCAGGGAATCCTCATGACATAGAATATGTAGATTTTTGCAATGCTTTTATACAGTATTAGAAAACAAACATCGAGAAAGTAATCTCACATTCCAGTTCAGATTCAAGAGTGATGATAGACGATAAGGTAACTCAACCATTAGGGATTGATGAGATAAATCAACCATTGGGAATCATTGAGGAAGCGATAGAGGAGGATCCCGAAGAAGATTGAGAGAGAATGTAGAAGTCCTATAGATAGGCAAATAAAATGAATAAAAAAGAATAAGACCCTTTTTTATTTTCACATTTTCAATGAAAAATGTTATATCCGGGGAAACGAATTCCAATTTGACTGTTTGATTGCAACGTGGAAATGGAAACCGAATTTCAAGGTATAACTACTTTAAATTGCATTTTCTTTGTTTTCGTGGAAAACGAATTCATATGAGTTTGTTGAGTTTTTATTTTCCAACTAGCATGGAATTGAAATTCATTTCCACCTTTACCTATCAAACAGACCATAATATCAATTGTTTTTCTTTGTAGTTTCAATTAAGTTCAAGTGACATGTAAACTTTCTTAAGTTAAGTTTGGGGTTTTTAGGTTGTAAATGGAGTTATGCAATTTTCTTTTAAAATTTCGTTCTTGAATTGGTGGAGTGCATGTCTAATGGATGAAAATTTATTTTCTTTTTTAAAGGAAATGGCGCAAACAAACTAGAGCAATTTGATAAGAGATTTGTTGCAAGCGGTGTAAGAGCTAGGAAGGCAAGCCTGCAAGTGAACCATGTAGCTACCTTGACTCAAAACTTCGATTGTGGAAACTTTCAGAACATACAAATCACCTTCTTTCAACAATGAGGATGATCCGTTAGCTGTCCAGGAATGGCTGCGAAAGTTGGGACAAATTTTTCAACTTATAGATGCCAACGATAACGAAAATTACAGTGCGAAGAGTTTGTGTTCATGGGTGTAGCAAGTCATTGGTGGGAGTCAATGTCCCGAACTGGGACCGAGGCTCAACAAGAGACTTTGACTTGGAATCGGTTCAAAGAAGTTATTGAGAAGTTTTTTCCCCAAGCATTAAGGGATTTTAAGGAAACAGAATTCCAAGGAAGCTTGACTTTGATTGATTATGAGAGGAAGTTCGACAAGCTAACTAGGTATGC